AGCCACAAGGGCTTTTGTGTATGTCACATGTCATCAGCGTGCAATCGTATGAGTGATCCGAGACAAACGGTCATTAGTAACTTGCCCAAGGTCATTCTATGTCTGCTGGCGCTGAGGTTCGAACACACTATCTTGTGGATATGTGTCGAGCATTTTAACCATTCAACCATAGCAACCCAATCGATTGACTTTTATCGGATCACCTTGAACAAGCATTTCTAAAGATTTTGATCAAAAATGCACAAATCATTATCTTATTCTTCCATTCTTTTAGATCAACGAACTATTGAGTACAATATAAAGCTTGTCAAACTACACATACATATGGAACAAACTTCCAGCAACAAAGCATATGTACAGGGCGAGCCAAAAGTTTCAGTACTTGATAGAAAAATTTATTTTTCTCCCTTATCACAAATCCCAAAGCTCTTATAGGTGGGCATAGAATCTCTCGTAACTAGATGAATATTATTCTAAATTTTCATAAGTGTAGACCTTGCTATAGGTAAGATATATAAACTCAAACTATAGAGAAGATTTTTTTCGCATGACTTAATAAAATTTAAACACCGACTATTTATATGAAAGCAGGAGAAGAATAGAAAAGAAAAGGAGGCCATCAAAATGAAGAAATATTGGAAAGAGTGATATTGAATAGAATTACATTGAAATTTTAACTAGATGTCTAAAGTATATTTATTGAAATGCCTTTAGCTCTGGTTGATTTCATACCAATGTGTAGCCATTGGCCATCATTTGTTTTCAATGATTTGTTTTTGCGATTTTTCTTTTGAAAATTTTCTTTTTCACATTTAATATTTTTGTGTTTTGTATAGTTTTATCCGATTTACTAAGTATCAATATCTCTAAATATTAAAATTTCAGACAATAAGTTTTAACTTTACATGATTTGCACAGAAGATGATCATCACATGATACTACTGATGAATTATAAGAAAACTACAGTGTTTGATAAAAGCAATCGCTATTCAATCAACAAAAAAGACTATAACAAAATATGAAAATAGAAATTATTGTAATATTTCATATTGTATTTATGATAAAAATGAATTATTCTATATTTTTTTTACGAATCAAACTTTGACTACCTCCTTCATGCTAAAAAAACCTTCTCTATAGTTCTAGTTTATATATGTTATCTATAGCAAGGGCTACAGTTATGAAAATTTAGAATAATATTTATCGAATTACAAACGATTATATACCCAACTTTGAGCATCTTTGAATTTATAATAAGGGAGAAAAAGAAATTTTCCTATCAAGTACTGAAACGTATGGTTCACTCTATATTTAGTTAGCTATTGTTTGATCATCTGACATTTTTTTACTAATATCATTCGAAAATCTACTTTAATGGGTTTCTTTTTCATGATTTTTAATAACAGTGGATAGTAGCTGCCTGTTTATGCTTTTACAAGTCGTTGCTGTGTTCACCATTGATTGAGATTACAGTAGAATGCAATACTTTAAGACACTTTACTTTTGGGTCTTTCTCTGAAAATAGAGAAGGTAAGATATATCTTTTTGAATGGTACACAAAACGAGGGCTAAGATCCACGCAGACCTAATTTTTTCAGTTTAGTTGGTTATTGACAAAAAAATAGCGGTATGTATGATACTTTCCATATTTTATCAATCTGTCGTTATGCAACAACAGTAAAAATTGTTTCAACAGATCATTCTATTCAGAATCGAGCAGTTTACATTCTTGTAACAGAAGTTTTGAAAATACATTGGCTATGAGAATTGAAATTTAATTGTTTTCCAATTGATAATTACAAATAATTTTGTCATAATTTTCCACTTTCTACTGCACCATTAGAAAGAGCATTAAAACTGAACAAGGCTATATAACTTTTAATTTAGTATAAAACATCGTCATGGAATTTTTCAAATACTATTTTATATTTTCATTAATATTGTATTCATAATTAAAAAAATTTGAGCTGTCAGACAAAACTTGAAAGTTTGAAAATAAATTTGGTTTTTGTAGAGCAAAATTTGTTCTATCGTACGAGGCCTTGAGGCATTATGTACACAAGGCCATTCATGAGACACTAGACTTTGAAAATAGTTCAGTGAAGAACAAGAATAATATGACTGAAAATCATTATTAAAAGTACTTTCGAAAACTGGTGACCTTGTATCTTATGAATGATATATTTTACAAAAGATCGCAAGTTATCAGTAGATACATTGCAGGACAAAGTAAATTGCATGTTGATATTCTAAAATCCTTCTAATTGAATATCTTTGATACTCTATTGGAAAAGGAGACTCTATAATATTAATTAATACAATGAAATAGTATTAATTACTAAAATTCTAGAGTAAAAATTTCTAACTTTCAGATTTGTAACCTGTTCACTTCAGCTCAATTCAGATTTTTAGTTTTTTCATTTTAGCATGAGATGCTTGATAGATATTTTTTAGAGAACTCGCAAAAGGTAACCACTGGATAAAAAAAAGATGACCAATCAAAGTCAAAACTGAACAGATATGTAAGCAATATACCGAATGTGATATTTCTTCTGCATCACTCGTCATATTTAGTAGAGACAAACTGAAATTCATTAATTTTTTTAATATAAACGAAGAAAACGTTCCTTCATTCAACTGTTCATCTTAATTCACGTTTTAATATTTTCGTTATTGATTGATGGCAAAATCATAAATTCGAATAAAAAACGTTTCGAAAGTATTTACTTTCTTCTTCAGTGTGATTTATAACAATGACCTACATGCGAGTGTTTGCTTTTTTCATCTCTTCTACTCGATTCTTTTCTTTGGTACTGGTATTTAAGAACAAGACGGTAAAACTATATGAGATGATCAATCATCTTTTTCGGTACCAGTGTGAAAGAAAAGAATAGAGATGGAGATGAAAAAAGCAAAGATGCATTTATAGGTTGCTGTGTTGTGAGTCATACTGAAGAAGAAAATAGGTTTTTTCGCAACATTTTTTAATAAAATTATGACATTGCTGTCAATCAATAAAGAAATCGTTTAAGCATTATTACAACTTAAAATATCCTTCTAAATCAATACAGTTCAAGTGTCCATCTATGATCAACTTCTTAGAATCCTCGATACTCCAAAAGTTCAACAATCAATTTATCTTCCTCAATTTTCTTAAGCTTGATAATTCATCTAATTAAATAAAAACTCGTTAGTACTGCGAAGGCAATACTGAACAATCAGTACATGTACTAAAGTAATACTGCCAGAGTATTTAAATATCGAAAGATGAAAGTCTGTCATCATTTTTAAATAAATAAAGATTAAAATGATCTTTCAAGAGACATGATTGCAAAAATTACATAAAGAAATAAACGGGCGCAAAGCGATCGAAATTATTTTCAAAAGAAAACGAAAAAACAATTCTATTTTTCGACGGACAACTGCATTTAAATTTCAGAATTTGCGACACGTCACTATGTTCACGTTGTCAACGATGCAGCCAAAGGTCTACATGCAATTATAGCAATCACATTATCATTCTAACATGTAGATCATTCGAAAAAAAAAATGTTCGGAGATATCATTTGTGTGCAATTGTTTTTTCATGCCCCATCATTCCCCTCTCGCTTGCATAATTGAATCGTTTTGACAATTGCGATCGTTCAAATACAAAAAAGCAAAAGAATAAAAATTGAAACATTCAACCAGTGCATTACCGATTTGTACTGATATATACTGAATCGAGTAAAATGTTTTTGGTTGCTCTCAACAAAAAGAAAAAAGTGGTATAATACAACGCGATTGAACGAAAAGAATTTTTGTTGCAGCTCAAGAACTCATGAATATGTGTATCACAATCAAGAGTATGGATGTGTGCGAATATTATGGCGTCGTAGTTTAGGCGCAGATGATTGACTGCATTGATTGCACAAGCCTGACACTGAACACATTTCATCTATAAAATTGCACACATGATGAAGTGTTATTACAATTACGGTTATTTATATGTACATACAGGTAACTGTTTTTCTTTTCTCGGGGTGAAGTCGAGTGCATTTTGTATGATTTCACCTATGCAGCTCAAGGCTGAAGAAAATTGTCGAACCAATGAACATAGCACTACAGTGTAAAATTCATGATTCAACTCGTATAATGAGTTGTTTTTTTTACAACGCAGAAAGCAAATTAAAACATGTAAATTGCATTGCAGAGTTAGCAGACTATTTCTGTCTTCATGTTTACATCTCTCAACCTCATACAGTCAGAAAGGGCGTTGTCTTCAATCTATGTCATGCGCAAATATGATCGTCACGAGTAGAGCTAGAGGCACCAGCAACTATTGCTTCATTGATATGCCATCAATCATTATTCATATAAATGGTGTATCAAAAAAAAAAAAGTTAGAAAATCATATTTTACAAAAAAGTGGGTGTTTACATATTTGCAATCATGATAACAGGTTGCTGTGGAGAAATCCTCTCCAAGCTCAAGCGTTGGTGGCGCGTGTTGATTATCGTGTTTAGTCCACTCCTACTTCTTCCATTTCCCCTTATTGTTAGAACTATTGTCAGTATTGAACATGTGTTTTCTATTAGACAGAATTTTAGGTATTGTTGTTGTTTTTCTATAGCAAGCAAGATGTGCCTACATCGTGCTGCTTCTCACCATTTATTATGTCACTGAAGCAATGCCCTATGCAGTAGCTTCATTATTTCCACTTGCATTGTTTCCCATGGCTGGTATTCTACCCGCCGAATTAATCTGTCTAAATTATTTCAAAGTGAGCGAGTCGTTATCATATATTTCACTTGAACACAAAATGCTACTAATGAGTCTTTTAAGGATATAACAACGTTGTTCGTTGGCAGTATGATACTGGCTTATACAATGGAGCACGTTCAACTTCATCGACGATTAGCGTTGCTCGTACTCAGTATTGTTGGCTCATCGACCAAATTGTCAGTAGTTTATTGCTTTCAACGAATGAAAAAGAAAACTGTATCTTTTCCAACAGGAGTATGGCCGGCTTGATGAGTGTCACAGCTTTCTTAAGTATGTGGATCAGTAATTCGGCCGCTACAAGTATCATGATACCGGCAGCAGTTGCTATTATTGATGAAGTTGAAAATTATCACAAACAAATGCAACAGCAACAGCAAGCATTGGATACTGAACGGGGATCGAAAGATATCGCAACAGTAGATACAACGGGTGACGAATCATCTTCATTTCAATTATCATTCGAATAATGGTTTTATTTTAATCTTTATTCATCCTTGATTTCGACAGAAGCATCATAGAACAAAAGACTACAGAACTATCTGTACAGGATAGTGGTTCTATAAATCGTAGCGATTTAGTGATTGAGTAAGTTTGGTTTTGTCTAGAGAAAATGAGTCCTATCTAATACAATTAATATATATAATCATCCGTTCGTAGATCTACACCATCTAACAACCAAGCAACAGTTAATCCAGATGCAACAAGCATTCGTATATTCACAACGCAAGTCGACTATCGACAGCTCAAGAGTGGTACGAACTAAACTATAAATCTGTCGAATTAAATAGATCCATGATCTGTCATCTTGTCTATTTAAAGGTTTTCTTATTGCTGTGGCTTACAGTTCTGGTTTGGGCGGTCTGATAACCCTTGTTGGAACTGGAACAAATATTTTTACTAAAGGATTCGTTGATGAGTTAGTAATTTATTCGAATAGAAAAGTTTTTTTTTCATAATGTCTATTAACCAATTTAGATTCTACGCAACAGGAGCCCATGCTTTTAAAATAACATTTTCAAACTTTCTCTTATTCGGTTTACCGGTCGGTGTTATCATGCTTATACTCTGTTGTCTATGGCTACAAATCTTGTACAATCGCAGAGAGTAAGTTTTCAGTCATACTCATTGTTCTTATTTCTCATCTTCATACGTATCATTGTAGACTCTTTCAGTGGAAGGCAGATTCGACTGCACGAGACTCACAAAAACGTTTGAAAGTTATTCTCAAAAACCAATACCATAACCTAGGCCCATACAGTTGGCGTGAACGCGTTGTTACTATTCTTTTCATTGTCTTGGTCGTTCTTTGGATAACGCGTGATTTTTCAAGTAGTCCTGGATGGCAAACCATATTTCGGAAAAAGTAAGCATGACTTTTCGTTGGAAAAAACCAATTGCTCTTGTCGTTTAAGTTACGTTACAGATGGAACAACTGCTATACTCATCGGTTCATTGTCACTGATTTTACCCGATCAAAATCCATTCCAAGGTATTTAGAAGATCATTTTGAAATTAAAAACCATTTTCTTTGATTAGAAAATTGGACGTATAAGCCGATTCTTGAATGGAATCAGCTATCGAAATCGTTTCCATGGGGTGTATTCATGTTGCAAGGTGCTGGTTTGGCTATTGCTGATGGATTTAAGGTTTGCTTTCATATGAAGATTTCTTTTTACCTAATGTATTTGTGTTTCTAGGCATCACATCTATCGAAAACTATTGCCAGTATTCTTCAATTTATTGTTGGAGCACCTCAAAAAGTCATTATTCTTGTTGTCATCATCCTCAGTGCTGTGTTCACTGAATTTACAAGCAATATCGCTTGTGCTAGTATCTTATTTCCTGTTCTCGATAGCATCGTAAGAAATTTTGTTTTCTTTTTATCTATTATTCGAGTTTTTTTTGGCCTCTTTTGTTTTTTTAAGTCTCACACGACTCACATTCCTGCAGCTTATCTCATTATGTCATCATGCATGGCTGTTTCGCTCTCGTTCATGTTACCAATCGGTAAGTTGTTCATTTACATTTTTGTTCAAATCACTAAGAAATTATTGTTGCTAGCCACTCCACCAAATGCCATGATATTCTCCAGTGGACATGTAAAAATTATGGATATGATCAAAGCAGGCATCGGTATTAAAATTATTGGTATCCTTGTGATTTTTCTGGCATCGACCACTTTTCTTGGACCTATCTTTCATGTACATCATCTGAAATCCGTCGTTAATGCCACCATAATGACCAGCAGTACTATTGGATGACGAAGATGAAAGACATAAAAACTCGTTTTTATCTGTTGTATCAAATGCCTTATAGTCTTTCTATCTTTGCTTTTGGTAGCGTCAACAGACGTCACTCCTATGACGCTAACTCGTTTCTATTGTATTGAATTTTTTTCCTTTCCTGTTTGATATACGTTGTTCTGTTAATCATTTTCAGAATGCACGATGATTGTCTGCTTTTCTTTTTGCAGCATTCTTTTTTCTATTGAGTTTTTATTTTCCTGTCTTATGATCTGTATATGATCTTATTTTTACTCTTTTTCATCATTATATTTAATTATTTGTTTTTCTTCGTTGACTACACATCTGTCTTATTATTATCAACTTTATTCTCATATTGTTGATTGTTGATTATTGTGATATTTTATTCTTCTCAAAATAAAACTCATTAAAGACAATATTATATTTAATTTATGCATATGTTACGACAATAAAGTAAGGTGGTCAATCTATGTTATCTCTCTAATTCCTAAGCAGACTAAATAATATAGCTCTACTACTATACATCCACAAACAAGAGCCTAACAGTTTGATCATAATAAATATAGTCGAAAATAACAAGAATGATGGTTACTGAAATAAGTTGTACAATAACTCAAAGAAGCAAAATTGAGTACGAGAAAAAGTGGATTGTTCATAAGATAGATAGTCTATAAGTATCGAGTTTGGAACTTATACTTAAGATAATGCTACTCATAGCGTATTCGATCTATCTGAGTACACATTATTTCAACATTTGCAAATTTTCATAAATAACAATCTCTATTGTCGGTCCTCTTAATACCCTGTACATTCGATCTCAAATCCAGACTGACAGAAAGACATCACACCACATACCTTTACTCTCGTGTTGTCAAACAGATCTGTTTAACGTTAGAACTTACGTTAGGTTTAAGTAATGTATAGAATGATCTGATGTTGGAAAAAATGGAAACTCAGATGACTCGAACGATGAAGAGGAATCAAAACAATAAACGAGTGTATATAACGAACATTTTCTTCTCAACGAATTTTTAAATTATCCGAATGCATACCTTAGACGCTTTAGATCTCGTTGTTTCGTTTTGTGGGAAGAGTGCAATTATGCATTATCTAAAAAAAGGTTTCGAATAACAACCCCTCAATATTTCTTTATTCTCATTACAAAAATTCTTTTTTNAAAAATCTCAGTTATTTTTCTCCTTGGATGCATCCTACACTTTGTAAACGAGCTTAATCTGCCGTGAAAACAAAACGCTTTCTCGACTATAATATAATGGGCAGATAGCCCAGCTTCTCTTTTATCGATCCACGCAAGGACGTGATTGATACCTGCTTGCGTTCAAAAAATATAAAGATTTTATTGAAGGCTACTAACCAAATTTTTTCAAAATCCGAGTAGCTAACTAAATATTTTTTTCTAAAAGTTCTTAGTCGCCTTAAACTTCATGGCACCATTTATCAGTTAATAACCTATGATGTAATAGTGCGTACCGGGATAATTTCATTTAATATGATTCTATTACACAAGTAGTACAGATCACTATGTGAATAAATTACATATTGTTTTCTGATAAACTAACCTATTTTTGAATTGATCTGCACCTGTCTTGATATGTAGGTAGCATTGACTTTGCTTTACTTTGAACCAATACTGCAAGATCCGCATTCTCTTAAACAGACAACCAGAGAACAATCTCGAGCGACAAGAAAATAATGTAGAAAAACACAACTGTAGAGGATCATAATAAAACGCAATGATAGGAGCGAACCACCATTCTGTATCGCTTTACAATGTTGTGAATTATAATATTTTTTTCAGATTGAATACGATAATGCCGACAGGTCACTATTATAGTCAAGAAACAAAAGAATTAATATTCAATGTAATTCAATTTATTGAAGGGGAGAAAAATAGACCAAAAATACCATTATATAATGTCAATGATCGTATAATGGCTGCACTTCAAATATCGCACGGTTCAATGGCGAAATTGAAAAATGAAATGAAACAGCTACAAGAAGAGCAACAAATGGTTTTGGAACATAAGTTACTTGAACAACAACAGCAACACCAATTATATGTACTTGCACAAAAGTATAAAACTGAGCGTTTGCGTCCACGATCATCATCACCATTTATAGCACCAAAAAATGATCATTTTACAAGTATGGATACTCCTCGTGCAGTTGCGAAATCACCGTTAATACATGGTGGCGGAGCTAGTTTGAAAATTTCTTTAACTGAATATAAAGAAGATTTGATAAGGCAAGTTTCTACTGATTCATTTTTTCCATCTCAATAATTGATCTCAATTGTTTAGATATTATTTTCATGTGATATTGTCTGAAAAAATATATCCAAATACGAGCAAATTGCTTACTCGCATTCGCACCGACAATTCAGACTTTCCAGTGAAAAGTATCACGTCACTATGGAGAGTGATGAAGAAACTTGGATTCTCATACAAAAGAACAAGCAAAATACGTGTACCAATGGATTTTATAATGTTTATGGCACAAAGAGCCTCGTATTTTCGAAAGTTAGATGACATTCGTCGGAATGGAACATTGATATATTATCAGTAACTACTAATTGTTCTTTGCGTTTCCAAGTACTCTGTTTCGTTTAGTGATGAAACATGGTTCAATTGTGGAGAGGAAAAACGAGTCATCTGGGTTGATGAGCATGGTAAAGAGAGAATACGCACAAATCATGGAAAGGGTAAACTTCCTTTTAAATTGATATAGTATAAAAACTGACGAAAACATGCAATTTAGGAACTCGTCTTGCTATAAGTGCGCTGATAAATGAGAATGGCTTTCACTATTCATCAATCGATATGTTTAAGTGCGATCAAGAACAATCAATAGATTCGAAACATTTCATATATTGGATCGGTCAAACTTGTTCCAAGTTACGAAAATAATTTGGTAAGATTTTTGATTTTTCGATCTTGTGTGACACTTTCTATAAAGGAAAATCCCGTGCGATAACTATTATTATTGATAATGCATCTTGGCATCGTGAAGTAACAGATGATACAAAACCACCACTACGTTCATGGAGAAAGCAAATGATAGCTGACTGGCTTCATGATCATGATATATCATATGCAAAAGATATTTCCAAAGCAGAATTATTAGAGTTGGCATATGAAAATTTACCAGAAAAAAAATACAAGGTAGAAGAAGAAGCAAAGCAGTATCAAATTAATATTTTATGGTAAATTTAACCTATTCGTGACTATTCTGTGCTAATATTTTTTTAAAGTTTACCAATGAGACATTGTACCCTAAACCCTGTGGAGTTAGCCTGAGCCAATATGAAAACATATATACGTGAGAGAAACACGAAGTTTACTTTAGCTGAAGTAAGCAAATTGGCACAAGAATGGATTCATGGCTTAAGTGCTACGGAAGCAACTAGTTACATCAACCATATCAAACAATGTGAAGTAACATTTAAAAAGGCTGATACATATGTCGAAGAGATCGAAGAAGAAATAAATGAATATGACGACGACGATTATAGCACCTCTAGTACAGATGATGCTGATGATTAATGATATTATAGTGAATTTATGTGAACATCGCAAAATTCTTTTCGGCTGATCGATTTGGATTTAGAAAATTTTTGCGATAGAAACGCCAATAAAATAAAGGTCGAAGAGAACTAACTTAAGATATTCATTCATTATTATCAAAATAAATTCAATATATGGTTTTTGATCACGTTTTTAATAGACAAAAACCTCTGAAGATTAATAAATGGTGCCATGAAGTTTAAGGCGACTAAGAACTTTTAGAAAAAAATATTTAGTTAGCTACTCGGATTTTGAAAAAATTTGGTTAGTAGTCTTCAATAAAATCTTTATATTTTTTGAACGCAAGCAGGTATCAATCACGTCCTTGCGTGGATCGATAAAAGAGAAGCTGGGCTATCTGT